TGGCTCTTGAACGGTCAATTTTAGCCAAGGGGGCTTGCTCACAGGGTGTAATTAGGGTCATACAGGCATCAAGGCGCCCCTCCACGAACCGTATCTACGAGGCCACGTGGAGAAGCTTCCAATCATGGTGCTCTAAACAGGAATTGTTACTCGAAGGGATCACAATTCCCAAGATCCTAGAATTTTTACTAGATGGCCTAGAGAGGGACCTCTCGCCAAACACACTGCGCAGGCAAATCGCCGCCCTCTCAACTATACTTTCTGCCAGCCCCGGTGAATCCTTGGGCAAGCATCCCTTAATACGATCCTTCCTCAAGGGGGCTGCAAACATCAGACCGCCAACCGTGCATAGGTATCCATCGTGGGAACTACCACGAGTACTACAAGCTCTTACCAGAGCGCCCTTCGAACCACTCAAAACATGTGACATTCGCTATCTGACCCATAAGGTAGCATTCTTGGTAGCCATCACGTCAGCTCGGCGGATATCCGAGTTAGCTTCTCTCTCAATGAGGAAGGACCTGTGCCATTTTCACAGGGACAAGGTAGTCCTAAGAATAGACCCTTCATTCATTCCAAAGGTCAACTCCCTTTTTCACAGATCACAGGAAATAGTCCTACCAGACTTCTGTCCAAACCCAGCTCATCCCCTGGAGCAACAATGGCACACCTTGGACGTACGCAGGGCACTAAGACATTACATTTCACGCACAGCGGAATTCCGACGCTCGGAAGCGCTTTTCATATCCTTCAACCCTGCTACTAGGGGCCGGAAGGTCTCGTCCTCTACCATCGGTAGGTGGATTAGGGCATGCATCACGGGGGCATACCAGGCGGAGTCTTTGCAAGTCCCCAAGCATATCACGGCCCATTCCACAAGGAGTGCTGCCACCTCAGCAGCATGGGCCATGCAGGCTTCTATTGAAGAGGTATGCAGGGCAGCCACTTGGGCCTCGCCCTCTCCATTCATTCGTCATTACAAAATCGACAGGTACTCCTCTGCAGAGGCCTCCTTCGGTAGGAGGGTTCTCCAGCAGGTGCTAGACCAAAGTTACACACGGGACCAGTCTATTCCCCAACCCAAGGGACAATAGGCTTTGGTATGTCCCACTGCGTGGATTATCCATCTCCAGTGCTGGAGAAGGGGCGTTGACTTACCTGAACGCCTTTTCTCAGCACGGAGATGGATAATCCACACCCACCCTTATAGACTAGAATAATAGGGTATATTTAGTGGAGCCAAAACATCTTACTGTCAGTCAATGGCTGCGCTCGAGTCAAGACTGGAGGATCATGGTCCAAGACGGGGCGTGGCAACTTTGGCTGACTGATCTGATTGGCCAGGAATACAGTCTCAACCCACTGCGTGGATTATCCATCTCCGTGCTGAGAAAAGGCGTTCAGGTAAGTCAACGCCCCATTTCATTTAAATCAAGTTGATTTAAATCACAATTTAAATTATGATTTAAATCACTGGTAGAAAGGTTTGATTTAAATCAATTTAAATCATAATTTTTAAAGAGCAACTGTCATCTCTGTCCCGCAGCGACTGCTCTTCTGACCTGCTGTTGACTCACTGACAGTCCCATTCACTTTAGTGGGACGGCTGGTGATGTGGCAGTGATACAACAAGGTGAGGGACATGGCAGGTTGCAGGTGAGTAGATGCCCGCTAACAGACCCTGCCATGATGGATCTGAAATGACAGGTGCTCTTTAAATGTAAGGACTCATTCTTGCTGCTAGTTAGAATCTTTAATATTATTATTTGCAAACAAAATGAAGGTTTCCTATTTAGAATAATAAGCTGTCAGGTTAGTAAAACAGCGATTTCAGAACCAGTTTTAGGTTAATAGGTTAATCACATAGAGTAGGAAAACTACTCAAATTCCTTTAATAAAACAAAGCCTGGTACAGATGCATTTCTCTTCAAAAAATTATACAGTTTGTAGTGTACATAGATTTGCAAAACAATGGGATAAAGGAATATTCCTGAACTTTGTTTTATTATTTATCTCATGGTTACTGTGAAATTGTGTGAATGCATCAATGCAGTGCATGTTATCTCAGCTTGCAGAGCTTGGATTCATTGAATGAGTTTACCAAAAATGTAAATATTGCAGAATATACAACCTCATGCTATATAACTAAGCTCCATTTCATGCTGAATAAACTAAATTACTAATGTATCTTAAATAGAAAACTATATTTATAGATTTTTACTCCAAAAGCATTTTATTAAAATAAATTTGATAAAAGTAAAAAAAAAATCTGATTTTTTATTTTATTTTTAAAAAAATCATTGATTATTATCCACCCTGGTTACAAGTAACTTGGTATGCCACAGTCATATGGGAACCATGACGAGAAAGTAAAAAAGACAACAGCATCCAAGTACAATGAAAGGATCACAGGTCCTGAACAGCCAGATTAATGGGAAGAACAAGATCCATGCCATTAACACTTATGGTCTACCATTCACCAGAAACCCTCCTGGTATAGTGAGCTGGCCAAAGAAGGACATAGAAGCTGCCGATGTGAAGACCTAGAAGCTCTTTATGTACAGTATACAGAGGTTCCCACCCTAAGTCCAACACCCAGAGATTGCATACTAGTTGGAAAGAGGGTAGTTGGGGGTCTGATGAGTGTCAGAACTACTGTTCCGGAGAAAATCCAGAGCATCCAGGAATAGATCAATAAAACGGCACCCAAAGACGAGCTGCTGAGAGAATGCCTGAATGCCTCCCAGCAGACATTAGAGGAAGTGCCACGGCAAGACGAAACCCTGCATAGGATGTACCACTGACAGATAGCTGAGGTGGCAGATATTGGGAAATCCTGAGTGGCTGAAAAGGACTGGACTAAAAACACTGGCACAGATTGTGGCAGCACAACAGGCACTAAGCACCAGATCCATAAAAGCAGGGATCTGCCACACTAGACAGGATCCAAGGTACAGAGTATGGAGAGTGGCTCCAACAGATCCCAGGAACATTGGAGCTCTCTGTCCTAAAGAATGCAGTGGTAGAAACAGCTAAGATCCTACGCAGAAGCATCAAACTCCCAGGTCTCTGGTAAAGGAGAATATTTTCTCTAAAAGTATTTAGCAGAGTCATGCTGCTTCTGACTGTGTGATGAATTATGGGTGAATCCATATATCCCTATGGTTTATATTGTTTGTTGCATTTGCCTTAGAAGAAAAACCCCTAGTAACCCTGGAAGTCATAGGCTAGTAGATCACGGGCTATTTGTGAAGTGTGTGAAATAGACATTTGTTTAACCTTTATAGATATATATATAGCAAAGCCAAGAATCTTTCTCAATCACACAAGATGGGACATCTGCCCTTTATTCTTCTGGCTTGTCATATGTTATAGTGGTATGCCTTGGAATATGAAGTCATTAAAAAGGTTAGTTACTTCAGCTCTCCTAACTCAAACATTGACAAACATTCTCTGCTATTCTTGCCCCAAGTTTTAAGGTAGAGAGAATTGATAGCAAAAATTAGGTGTTCATTATGGAACATGCTGGGAGTAATGCTGAGTTCTTCCAAACTGATGTGAGTTTTTTAAAGGAAGCATCTTTGCTAATGTTGAAAACGGAACAATAGATTTTTAGTGGAGAATATGTTTTATGCATTTATTGGAGTAGAAGACCTTCAAGGTGCTTTCCAGCTCTATTCTGATTGATTGATTGATTGATAATTTAAGCAGTACAGGTAGTCGACCTGTTGCTCTCAAAGATGCCACTTGAAAATAAGTTTTGCACCTTTCTGAGATATTGCATTAAATAGCTCACAATGGAAAGGGGGGCCGGTTGTCTCTCCCCTGCCTGCCCTGCACTAGATTAGCTCCATGAAGGATTCCCCCCCCCCCCAACAACTTTGAGAGCAAAATGCTGCTTCTACTGTAGAAAGGTGCAGTCTTTCCACCAGGCAACACTTTTGCTGTCAACATGGCTGAGCAAAGAAGCAGCCTTCTGCTCTCAGACGCTGTATGGAAAAATCCATGGTGAAACCCAAGAGGTATTTTAGCCCTGAACGCTTGTTCCATGGAGCTCCAAATGCCCCATGTTTTGACAGCCCCATGCTAAACTCTCACTTAGCTTCCATCATGGACTTTTCCAGACAGTGTCTTTTAGAGCAGAGGCCCCCAACCTTTGGGCACCAGGGACCGATTCGGTGGAGAGAGGTTTTTCCGTGGACCGGAGGGTGCGTGGTTTTGAGTGCTGCCTGCATCCGGTGGATGGGGCTTTGCTTGTTTGTGCGGCCCAGTTGCTGGCCTGCTGCAGGTTAGTACTGGTCCACGGACCAGGGGGTTGGGGACCCCTGTTTTAGAGCACCAGGGCTGCCTGTCAGATGAATTGTTTCTTTCTCCCACCTCCCCCCTGCTTTCAGTGCAATGTGTTTTACCAGCTTACCAGCAAATCTGATCTTTCGGAAGTGAAGAAAACCTGCTTTCAGAATGATCCCTTTTGAAAGGGGGGGAGGCAAGGGAAATATAAACATTTTTAAGGAAATAATTTATCTTCTTTATAGATTGAAATGGATACAGTAGTGTCAATATTGTTTTGCATCTGGATAGGCCACAATATTAAGGATGTCAAAGTACAAAAATTAATAACTGGACACATGTAAGGGCCCTGCTCCTCAGATCTGCAAAGTCAATTGCCAGAATCTCTCCTTATATAAAAGAAGGAACTGCAAGCTCTCTTTCTGATTTCTCTTACTTTAATATGGGAATATCAACTCTGAATATTGATGAAGGTGAATATTTTGTTTATTTATATCCTATCTTTATTATTTTTATAAATAACTCAAGGTGGCAAACATATCTAAAACTCCTCCCTCTTCCTATTTTTTCCATAACAACAATTTTGTGAGGTAGGTTTGGCTAAGAGAGAGTGAATGGCCCAAAGTCACCCAGGCAGCTTTCATGCCTAAGGTGGCACTAAAACTCATGTACGCTTTTATTTATTCATAGTTTGTGTTTTCTTTTTTCAGGTTAATATTTTTCAAAAATGGCAGCAGAAACTCAGACACTTAACTTTGGGCCTGAATGGTAAGTCTGTCTGTCTCTTTATTTCTCCAAAAGATTTTCCCTTTGAATATTAATAATAGTTGCTTTATCAATATATTGCTTCAAATGGCTGCTTGGAAAAAATACGTGAGGTGTTGAATTTTTTTGTTTTAATTGCAACTACGTAGGTTATTTATTTAAAGAATTTATACAGCTCCCTAGCTTACAGCTCCTAAGAACTACTGAAAACATCACATAAAGCACATTGTACCTTCTCATCAAGGCTCCATAACCATCCACACTACCAACTCCCAACTCAACACCATTCTGTGGAGGGAGAGCCAGGGTTCATGGCCTTTCAGAGGGCTAAAAATATCTAAATCAGATTTTTAGTTTGAATTGTGTTGTACTTTCGCTTCCTGCCCATTAGACCAAGTCAGCCAAATTTGTCACACCACTCCCAGTCTTGACGAAGGCAAAGCAGCTGACTATAGTTTGACGTGTTGGCTCCCGGCTCCCTAATATGTACTAATTGTCCTTAAGGGTGGGAGTGGATTTTCCATATCCGTGGTGAGAAAAGGCGTTCAGGTAAGTCAACACCCCTTCTCCAGCATCAGAGATGGAGAATCCACCAATGGGACATACCAAAGCCTCACTGTCCCAATGGGGGGGGGAAACAGGAGGCCGTAGCCATGTCCCCAACGGTTACCTGCTGGAGGACCCTCCTTCCAATAATGCAAAACGGTTCATCTTGTAGTGCCGTATAAACAGAGAGGGCGAAGAATATGTCGCCGCCCTGCAAACCTCCTCGATAGAGGCCTGTGTGGCCCATGCCGCTGAGGTTGCAGCACTGCGAGTGGAATGTGCAGTTATCTGCCTTGGCGCTGGTAGTGAACGTGATTGGTATGCTTCCGCAATGCAAACCCTGATTCATCTGCCTATGGTTGAGGCAGACACCTTCTGACTGCTAGAGGTGTGATGAAATGAGACAAAGAGAGCTTCCGACTTGCGGAAGGGCGCCGTTCGCTTGATATAGTGTCGTAATGCCCTACGAACGTCCAGTGTGTGCCACTGTCGTTCTAGGGCATGGGACGGATTGGAGCAGAAATCTGGTAAGACAATTTCTTGGGCCTTATGAAACGGGGTCCTTGGGGACAAAGGTTGGATCCAATCGGCGAACCACCCGATTTTGATGAAAGGTGCAGAGGTCCTCCCTGCCTGACAGTGCTGCGAGTTCAGAAATGCGCCTGGCTGACGTAATTGCAACCAATAAGGTGACTTTGAGGGACAAGGACCTCAGAGTACAAGACCTGATAGGTTCGAATGGCACCTTGGTGAGGACCCGAAGGACCCATGGCAATTCCCAGGAAGGGTACCTGTGAGCCATGGGTGATTTTGTGTTGGTGGCGCCCTTAAAGAAGGAGCGGATCCTAGGGTGCTGTGCCAAGGGGACTGAGTTGGCGCAGGTGAGGTGGATAGGGCCACGACCTGTCTGCGGATGGTATTAGGTGCTAGGCCCCTGTCGAGGCCTTCGAGCAAATATTCTAGGCTGTTTGGGACTGTCAGATCTGAGACATTAAGTGGCCGCCTCTCGCACCAATTGCAGAAGTTCCTCCATATGGATTCATAGATGTGATTTGTTGCCAGTCAGCGGGAGGCCTGAATCATGGAAATTACTCTTGCCAGTTATGATTCCCCAGTCAAGATCCGTTGTTCAAGTGCCAGGAGGCTAACTGCAGCCATTGGGATTTTGGGTGTTGTAGAGCTCCCTGGCTGAGTGACACTCAACCTGGGGGAATCTTCCATGGGTGAGACCTGGAGAGATTCACCAGGTCTGTGAACTATGGTCTTCGTGGCCAGTACGGGGCCACAAGTATGACCTCCGCCCGTTCCTGCAACAGCTTGCGAATGGTTGCCGGGATCAGCGGAAGAGGGGAATGTGTAAAGCAGCCCCCCCCAGCCATGGGCAACGCAGAGCGTCTGCTCCCTTCGCCCCCACCGATGGGAACCGAGAGAAGAACCTTGGGAGTTGGGTGTTCAATGGGGAGGCGAACAAGTCTACGGCTGGTTGTCAGAACCTCTGTGCTATTTCTGCAAAGAGGTTCGGATGCAGGAACCATTCAGAGTTGTCTACGATTGACCTGCTTAGGAAATCCACTTGTCTGTTTGCCTCCCCCAATATGTGCTTGGCTCTGATGGAGGCGAGGTTGGTCTCCGCCCAGGAGGGACCTGGATTGGATACCCCCCTGCCGGTTCACATGTGCCTTCGCTGGCACATTGTCTGTGAGGACTAGAACGTATTGTCCCGCCACCCTGCTGTGGAAGTGGCGGAGGGCCAAATGTATGGCTCTGAGCTCCAACCAATTGATGTTGTGTTCCAGATCTGCCTGGGACCATTGTCCCTGGGCCCGTTGAGACTGCAGGTGTGCTCCCCAGCCAAACAGGCTGGCGTCCATCGTAAGTGTGAGCCGGTCAGGTTCCTTGAAATGTGACCCTCTGGCTACTGCCTGCGAGGACCACTATTTGAGGGACTGTAATGTATTGGGTGGAATCCTTACTTGCTTGTTGGAAGAGCTGATGCCCAGCCTCTGGAATGGAGGAGGAACCATTGAAGTTCCCTGGAATGTAGTCTGGCCCAAGGGACTATTACTATGCATGAAACCATCTTCCCCAGGAGTTGGGAGAGCAGAGCCAGTGGAACTACCTGTTCCCTGCGAACCCTGAGGGCCAGGGTCCTGATGCTGTCCCGACATTCCTGTGACAGGTAGACCTGGCAACTGAGTGTGTTTATGATGGTGCCCAGGTGTAGGAGCTGGGTGGAGGGGACTGTCTGACTTTTTCGGAAGTTAACTGAGAACCCGTGTTCCTGAAGGACCCTGGTTGACTGGGTTAGGTGGCCTGAAGAGAGTGGGACTGGATGAGAATGTCGTCCAGATAACACTGGACGCGCACTGGTACCATTCGTAGGCGTGCGGCCAACACCGCCAGGATTTTGGTGAACACCCTTGGAGCTGATGAGCGATCAAACGGGAAGGCTCTGTACTGGTAGTGGTGGCCCGCGTAGCAGAACCTGAGGAACTGCCAGTGGCTGGGAGCGATGGGGATGTGGAGGTACGCTTCCGTGAGATCTGTGGATGTCAGGAAATCCCCGTTCCTTATGCTGCCCAAGATGAAATGAAGGGTTTGCATTTTGAACTTTTGATAGGCGATATGATGGTTCAGACCTTTGAGGTCCAGAATCACCCTCCAACCCCCCGAGGCTTTGGGAACCACGAAGAGGATGGAGTAGAATCCCCACCCCAGATGTCCGGTCGGCACATGTTCTATGGCCTTTATCTTTAAGAGATGCCGGATAGCCTCTTGCATGAGGCTGCTTTTGGCAGGATTCCTTGATTGAGGGCAAGAGACGAAGCGCTCTGGGGGGCTGGACACGAATTCCAGGGACAGGCCGTAACGAATGGTTTGGCGGACCCAGGAATCCATGTGGTGGCTTCCCACTGGTGGGTGAAGAGCGCCAGTCTGCCACCTATGGGGGGGCAGCTCGAGACTCACTTGAACCTTCTATAGGGATGACCCCCCCTCAAAAGGGCCGTTTGCTCTGGGCTTGGTGTTTGGGCCTGGGTCTGGACCTGTGGCTGGCAGTCCTGTCTAGGTGTGAAGGGACGGGATGGCTGAGGGAGGCCCGCACCCGTTCCCAATCGAAATGACTGTCTGCGGGTGTATAGGTTTGGGTGCCTGTTGGCCCGTCTGCTGGAGTGGGCCAATACCTTTCGCTTGTCCATATTTTCGGTTAAGTAAGGAGTCAGTGCCTCTCCGAACAGCTGGCCACCTTGATAAGGGGCCGTAGCTAGGCGCCACTTGGCCTTTGGGTTGGTTTGCCAGTGTTTGAGCCATAGCATCCTGCGTGCTGAGACGTTGGATGCTATAGCTCTGGATGAGAACCTGGCTGCATGTAGAGTGGCATCCGAGATGTACTCTGATGCTGCAGCAAGCTTGCTCAGGTCTTGTTGGGTACGTACCTCCTCCTGGGGAAGTCTGGTTTGTAGTTGACGAAGCCAGAGTAAGGAGGTTCTGGCAAAGAAGGATGCACAGGTGGCAGCTCTTACTGCCCACGCCACCGCCTGGTGAGTCCTGTGGAATATGAGTTCCCATCTCCTTTCATTGGATTTTAATACCTCTGCCATATCCCCCGACACTGTGGATGGGGAGAAGAGGAAGCCAAAGAGTTCATCCACCTGGTCCTCTGCCTGGTCCGGCGCTGTGCTGAACAATTTCCTGTCCGTTCCCTCGGGGGAGGGAAGGTGCCTGGTGATGTCCATTGTTTCCTGATGGCATTCCGAAAGAGTGCTGGATAAGGGACGTGGTGCTGGGCCACAATGGGTTCGAAGAACACCGGATACGAACCGGGCAGTGGGTCTGGTTGTGGGATATGATCCGGGCTAATGTTGGCCCTGGAACTGGCTCTGCGGAGCAGAGGCAAGAAGAAAGAAGGGTTGAATACCCCTTCAAATGGGGGAGGATCTGGAGGAGGTTCTTCCTCCTCCCACCATGACATGTCATGTTGGTCATCCTCTGTAGGAGAGGAAGCCCTGCTGTGAAAAGACCGTGGTGGAGAGGAGGGGTCCCTGTACCTTGGCTGGAAGCAGGCTGGAGGTATGGAAGTCACAGATTCGGGTCTCATCCCGTGATTGGACCTGGCAGCCAGCGCCCTGTTGACGGCCTGATCGATCAGGGCTTGGAGGCGGTCCTTGGAGAAAGGATCCTCGGGTTCCCCCCCTGAGTCCTGCCACTGTGGGGGTAAAGGTGGCCTCTGGCATCGAGTGTGTGACCAGTGGTTGCAACGATGGTAGAAGGATCGCTTGGGCTTGATCCACTTCAGGAACCTGGGGGATCCCCTCAGGGCACCATACCCTTTGGTTAGAGGTTCCCAAGGGAAGATCAAAGGGCACCTCCTCTATTTGCTCCGCCTTTATCCTTGCCTGCTTTTGTGCTTTGGAGAATTCCCTCTCCAGAGCCTGCTGCCTTCTGCTAGCCTGTTTTTC